TTCCTGTGTGCAGCGCCAGGCTCCTTCACACCTGGTGAGGGGTACGATGCATGTTTGGTCTGAGTTCAACCATCGGTTGGACTAGTTATCAACATTCTAGCAGTCTGTTTCGCTACTTGCTACTACGTGTGTAAGGTCAGTCCTTGTCAGGGCAGTCTTTGTATCTAAGTCTTCCCTACGCTATTCAGCACTTTTGTATGTATGAGAATGCACATTGTCTGTCGAGATTCTACTCTCACCGCATTGTCCATTTCAGTCCTTTTCGTCACATTGCAGTTCCTCGGTTATTACAAACATCACATATCTGTGCATGTAACACATGGGCTGCTCTTTCGGAGCACATGGAAGAGACAGGGACTTCCAGGGTGTTTTAAGCAGTGGCCTTCCTGGTGTCGTGTGAAGATCTTGTGGTCTTTGAGATTATGGTACTCTATACACTCCAGAGGCTAGACAGCAGATGGGGACTGTTTAGCCATGGAGTGATAGAGATAGTGGTGTCATGAGTGTGTTGTTTAAGAGGAATAGGAGTGCCCGTGCTGCTGTGTTTGTGGGCTGACTCAGAGGGGTCTTCCAGTTTTTTTGGGCTATGCTGTCTCTGGTCGGTGCTTTCGACTGGTGGAGCCTTCTGCGTTAGGTATGCTGTTTTCTGCCCTTTACCTTTGTTTTTATAGAGTGAAAGAACTATACATATTTGTGCAAGTGTGCCGCTTCGGCGGAACAGCGCTGAAAAAACCTATGAATTCCTGTAGCCATAAACTCAACGGGTGGGTTGTACTCTTGCTCGTCGGTCTTTTTTCTTTTTCTCTTAAATCTTAAGTTTGTTATTCACAACTTCAAAGTAACACGCTGATTGCACATGTCGCCTGTCTGTCTGTTTTGGCGCTTTCTTTCCCAGCAAATTTTGATGGCTCCAGTGGTAAAGGATTTGCTTACCAAGGCATTGGAGATGGAGAAGGCAGGCAACTTCAAGGTGATTATAAGCTGGTGAAAACCTTTGTGTCCTTTTAATGGGGAAGAACATTTGGAACCATCACATGAGGAATCTGAAGTTTCAATTGCTTTGTTCAAACCGTAATGACTCAGCCACTGTGGCTAATACTCCTAATATCATGGAAGCAATACTGTGAAAACGGAACATTGTTTGCCTTGTTGGATCATAGAAACTTAAAATTTGATGTGTAGATTTGCTCATTTGGATGACACAAATGGTTAACAGGTACCCCCACTTTTCACCCCTAGATTGGTGTGAAGTATTGTTAAAATGACCCTTTGTTTTTTTTATTAATGGGGGTGAAAAATGGGGGGTCGGTTAACCTTCTGTCTTGGATGAGGGATAAGTTGAATCACAATCCGAACCGTTGTAGTAAACCGGAATGATTAAGCCCCCAGTACATGCCTCACACAGGCCGCGGGGCCGTGTCAGAGGCTGAAAAGCGACGTCGGCCTCCGATTTCTTTTGCCATGGCACACCTGCGCCGACTTTTTTGGATAGGCGACGAGTTTCTTTTCAGGGAGGCTGGGGCCGTGCACTGGCGGTTTAAGAGTAAGTTTTGGGAATATCTGAGGGGGCAGTGGGATTTGAAGTTTGAACCTGTGAGCTGCCCTAAGTATTTGGTGTATTTCAAGTTGTTTGCGTTTTTTCTTCTGACAAGTTTTGGACCTGAAACCCGAGAGTAGGATCTCTGTAGGCTTAGGCTAGAATATGCCTTTGCAGACCGGCAGATTCTAGATTTCGCCGAGAACAGAACTGGAAGGTAGAGGGTAGGATGTGGCTACCATCTTCACCCGAATAGAACACCCGGTCATTATAGCCGTATTCCGGGCAACTTTCAGTCTAGATGCAGCCATAATGACTGGGCGTTCTATTCGGGTGAAGACGGTAGTCAAAAGTGACAAGGAGGCAACTATTTCGGTTCAGTTCTCATTTGTCTAAGTTTTGCTGTCCAGTGAAGCTGGCAGTGCTGAGTGGACTAAATTCAGGGATGGACAGGGGAGATATGAGTGCAACCGTACGCATTGAGGTAGACGGCTGGTACAGTGGTCGGTTTCCCAAGTCATTTGTCGACTATCAGGGCACACTCAGTTCTGTATAAATTTCGCTTGATTTCACCGACTTTTGGGTGTGAAGGGAAGGGTTGAGTGCAGCCGTACGCAGTGAGGTCTTGCGTTTTTTTTTTTTTTTTGGTTGGGTCTTCCTGTACATTGGTCAGTTTTCCAAGCAATTTGTTGCCTGTGGCTGATGGCGTCAGGGCGCTCAGTTCTGTATAGATTTCTCTTGGTTTCATCAACTTTTTGGTGTGATATATATATATATATATATGATGTGGGACCAGTCATCCGTTTTTTTTTGTTGTTCGGCCTATGAGAACATGAAATGGTTTAATACCCACGTCTTGATGACGAACAAGGCCATCTGCTGTATTGAGATATGTATTTGGGATTTCTTTTTTTTGCAGGCAAGAGTGTTTTGATATCCTGGTTGGTCTTGTCCCGTTGTTTGGCCTATGGAGTTGGGGGCGGTGCTTACATGTGGGGCTTGTCATCCAGGATCTTGCTGCCCCCTGTTTTGTTATATTTGGCTATTCCCCTCCTCTTTTCTTTGCCTCTTTGCCTTTTGGCTGTGTGCCAGTGGGTCGATATGACACACGGGGGTGGGGGCAGCCGCCGCTCAACCACATCCACGTGGGCGGCCTTGTACGCAAGAGGTTCTGAACAGGGGGAATTGTAAGTAAGAAGATAAAAAATGAATTGATATCTTTTTTGTTTCCTATTTTTTTTTTTTTTTTCTTTTCGCTTTTGCGCTCTGATAACTTTGTGACAATATATATATAAGATGAGTCGGTGAAACTCCGACGAAACAGTTTGTCACAGCCCCTCGTTTGTTGTCCTCTTCTCTCTCTCTGCCTACGGTTTTACCGGGCAGTTCTGTTTGTGACGATATATATATATATATTATATATCGTCATATGTGGTTTACCGGGCAGCTCTGTTTGATGACATATATAGTCAAACGGAGCTGCCCGGTAAACCGTAGACAGAGAGGGAGAAGAGGACAACAAACGAGGGGCTGTGACAAACTGTTTCGTCGGAGTTTCACCGACTATATACTATATACTATATACTATATATATATATATATTCTCAAACAGATATAACATCTTCGCTTTGTTGTAGAAAAAACTTTTCTGTACACTAGAGATGGTACTCTTCGAAAGCAAATCATTGGTATTCCAATGGGAACAAATGCTGGCCCAGAAATCTCCAATCTAACGCTCTATTGGGATGAAGCACGCTTTATTGATGACATTCGTCAACATGATCCCCAAGCTGCTCAGCGATACGCCTTCACTTATCGCCTCATTGACGATGTTCTTTCATGGGGCCAATTACCTCCTCCTTCAGAGCACTATGGGCTYGAGTGGAAGGAAACTACGGCTACAGATGGCCCGTGTACCTTTTTAGGTATGCATCTACGGGTACATTCTGATGGTTCGCTTCGCATGAGCGTGTTTGATAAAGCGGCTGCTTGGGATTTCCCCGTTATTCGCTATCCAAGTGCTACCTCCAACATCCCTTCCCATCAACCGGCMGGTGTGTTCACTGGGCAATTGGCCAGATTTGAACGCATCTGCAATAATTGGCAGGACTTTCGAACTGCAGCGACAACACTCACTCGTCGCATGCTTTCTCGTGGCCATTCCCCACCAACCCTCGCTAAAGGATGGACCTGCTACACACGCTCCCGCCAACGTCGCTATCCTACACACGTCACCCGTCTCTCTCAGTGGTTCCGACGCATGCTGCGATGGTCCTTGCATCACCCACTTTCTTCTTTATCCCCACATCGCTCTCATCCTGTCACTGCTTGTTCATCTGCTGCTAATGCAGTTCCCACTGTTGTGGTTCCCACCGCCGCTGCTTCCACCGCTGTGGTCTCCACTGCTGCAGTTTCTACTGCTGCTGTTTCAACTCCGGGTTTCACTCCGGCAGTTTCTGCTACGGAAGCTGCCTCCGCTGCGGTCCCTGCTACGGAAGTTGCCTCTGCTGCGGTTCCTGCTACAACAGTTTTCTCTGCCGCGGTTCCACTTTTTACCACTGCGGTTCCTGCTACAACAGTTGTCTCTGTTGCGGTTCCACTTTGTACAACTTCCTCTGCTTCTGTAGCTCGAATTTCTCATGCTATAGTTTTTACTGGTATAGCTTCCTCTATCCCAGCCCGACACTCGCGTCCTATGTTCTGACATCCTGCCCAATCCACCCCCCTTTCATCCCTTTCTGTGCTTGGCCGCAGACGGCTGCGTTCCTCCTCGCCACCCCCATCTCCTCCACGGTCTCGTTTGAGAACCGATTCTCCGGTTTCTATTCTTCCCATTGTTCCGCCTTCATTGCCAGTGACATCTTCTGTTAGAAACATCGCCACTCCTCTTATTGTGTATCATCGTCGACGACATGCACAACATCGCCACTTGGCTAGGGATCAGCGGCCTGCTTCTTTGTCTACCCCAATTTTCTCTGTGCCTCCTCTACAGGTTGTTGCGGTTCCGTTGTCCCAAACGGATACATCCGCTCCTATGCCTCCTGCAGACAATCCAGCTGCTTGCACACAGCCACAACACCATGTTTTATGCCCTTCCATGTTCGTTTGTCCCCCAACTGTACAACATGCGGCCCCGAACGCTGAGGGCCTGGAACATGATCAGCTCGGACTGCATTTAACCCCGCAAGGCATAGACCACACGGGGGATTTGCAAATGGCTGACCAGGATCATATGGATGAACCGCATACTTGTGCCTCACCCTGTGTGGCCCCGAACGCTGAGGGACTGGAACATGATCTGCTTGGACTGCATTTAATCCCACATGGCGCAGACCCCACGAGGGATTTGCAAATGGCTGACCAGGATCATATGGATGAACCGCATTCTTGTGCACCACCCTGCGCAGACCCCACGGGTGATCTACAAATGACTGACCAACCAAACCAGCCTGAGATCCCCGCCAATCTTTGTGTCCTGACTGCAACTAATAGCTGCCTTCACATTTTCAATCGACCGTTGTATACACCATCAGATTTCCTTGCAATTGCCCTACTGATCTCGCTAATCTCGCTGATCCCCCCGACCTACAGCCAGAGCATCGTAATTACACCAGGGAAGGAGGTTTTACCATTGCTGTCCTAGAAATAGCGATGAGGAACCGCCAACTTGAACTACGCCATGCTCTACCAGGTGAGTTGTTTAATCCTCCATCCGACATATCTGCCTGCATTGTGCACGGGCCTGGCCATTACATGGCTATTGTACACGCCTCTGACCATTGGGAGGTGTGTAACGACGGTGTCATGGTCCATGCCATGATTGATATTACTGATTTCTTACTCTATGATGCTATTCTCTTGCCACATCAAACTGTCCGCAATCTCCTTTATGTCGAAGATCATTCCTCTGGCACCGTAGTGCAGCAGTACAATGTACACACACGATGTGACCTTCTCCTTTGTACAGCCACAGACACTGTTGCACTTGGGTGTACTCGCCATCATCTTTGTCACAATCACTACCATGAGATGGTTTCTGCATCCATGTGTGTACAGGATTGTCCCTCCGTTCCTGACTGCAGGCACCCTCCTCATCCGGACACTATATGTCCATTTT